CTCTACGTCCTCCTCTCTCTCTCTCTCTCCTATCTTGCCCCCCCCCCCCCCCCCCCCTATCTGTGTATGTGTGTATGTATGTGTATGTTTAGTCGCACACCTCTGTGGACATGGAGTGCTCATGTTTGCCGTGTATGCATGTACGGATGAAAAAGGAGGCACTTGCGGATGGGCCGGCACCCTAGACGGTTTGTTGTACGAGTAGTTGCTGTGGGGGTCGCGTTTGTTTCCAGATGGGCGTTGTATCACCGCTGGCAGCTGCGCCGCAGCGCTGTTTCATCGTTGCCTGTGGATGCAACAATGAAACACTCATTACCTCACGCTGCGAAGCTTGGACTGCTTGCGAGTAGTGCTAAGGATGAACCATTTGATGTCCTTATCGTTGGCGGCGGCGCGACAGGGTTGTACACTGCTGTGGATGCTGCCCAGCGTGGCCTGCGCGTCGCATTGGTGGATGCTGATGACTTTGGCGCCGGCTGCACTGGAACGTTGCCCCCACTTATCCCCGGTGCCTTTCCGTACTTTCAGCGAGCGCTGCGACAACGTGATTTATTATTGGCTCCGCCGGGGTGTGGAGGTATGGCGTGCCTTGACGGTATGGTCGAACGTAGCGCTGGGGCTCGTTCAGAGTGGTGTCTCTACCCTTATTCCCTCGTCGCACAGCTTGGAACTGATGGAGTTGACAACGGCGGCTGTCATAGCGATGTTGTTCAGCCCGTTTTTGGGTGTCTGGAAGCCATTCCACTTTGTGCGCGGTGACGCCTTGCGGACGGAGGGCCACGAAACCGAAAACGAAGTGCAAGGCGGCGTTCTCTTACAAGATACCTTGCTGGACGGCAACGCCGCATCTGTTGCGCTTGCTCGCACAGTGGAGGCGCTAGGTGCGGTGGTACTCAACTACGCCTCTGTGATGAGCATCGCAGAGGTGGAAGCAACGCCCAGGGTGAAGGGTCATGCAAACTTTGCCGTTGTTGTGAACGATGTGAGTGCGCCAAAGGGCGTGGGTGCGTCAACTTCACGGGGACTCACCGTTTACACGCGCAACATCGTGAATTGCGCCGGGTCGTGGGTTGATGAGGTGAAGCAGCTGATGCCAACCCACACGACGGATGCAGTGCCGAGTGTGGTGGCGCGGCATCAAGTGAAATCCTACTTTGTCCTGCCTCACAGCGCCGTACACCCCATGAAGACGAAAAACATGCATTCTCGCTGTGACGCCGACGCAATGTTTGCTCTCACCGACCTCCTACAGCTTCGCCTCAGTGATGCTGCTGCCGTGGTTTGAGGTGATGACTGTATATTAATTGGCCCAAGTATATCGTCCCTTCCCCGGCTTCCCAGCAAAAGTTATGCGGTGGCCCCAACGACGGTGCTGACACTGGTTGACACGGCGAGTAATAGAGGGTACGATGTGCATCGTGTGTACAATAGCCAACGGCGGCATCTCTGCCACGCCTTACAACTCTCCGGTGTCAACATAGATGCGGACCGTGTCTTGTCGTGTCTCTCTTCGATTGTACCCGTTCTTGCCCCTCCCTCGTCTGTTCCGTGGGCGGGGGAGGTATTTATGGAGAACTGCCACATCAGCGCGGGGAAGCAGTATCCAAATGTGGTGCATGTATACGGGGGGAACATTAGGGTTTGCTAGAGACACTGCGGAAAAAGTGGTTCATCGACTACTGCATGACAGCGGGGCATTTACAGCAACGGAAACGAGGCTGCTGCGGCCGTGCCAAACGAAACGTCTAGCTCTCGTTGGGGCGCAGTCAGGCGATGCTGGTAGCGATGATATCTCCCCAGTGGCACGCCTGCAAAGGATTGTGCGTGATGAGTACGCGGTGCGTGTGTTGGATGTGGTTGCACGGCGGAGACGCACCGCTTACAGCAGCCCTGTTGAAGCGTTGGCAGCTCTTCCTGTTATTGCAGAGGTGATGCGGCGTGAATTGGGGTGGACGACGGAGCGAACGCAAACGGAGTTGGATTTGGCACGGACCTTCATCAGTAGCATCAGCGTAGCGTGATGCGATCGTGGTGTGGAGGTGGTTATATCGTCTTGAATGAATACTGTTGGTTTCAGTTTGTCTTCAATATTTGCGTCTGTGTGTCTGTGTCTTTTCGTCCCCGTTGTGGCTATGAATTCGATGTGGGTGCACGTGTTTTTTTTGGTGGTGGTGCTGCTGCTGTTTAGTGCACACGGGGTGGCGGATACCGCATCCCGGAGCGAGTTTGCAAGCCGCTTTCCCTCTCATTTCTCGGCTGGGAAGGAAGAAGCAACAAGGCGTCCGCGGCTGTGGGTAGGCAGAGAGCTTTTATTATTATTATTCCCACAATGCTCGTCTTGTTTCACGAGCATTACAAAGTTCGCTACGTGCCCCGCGGTTTGGGCTCGTGGCTATTCTACCTGCTCTGCCTCCTCATTATTCTGGTGGCGCCGGTGTTTATTGGACTCGCAATGGGGAACTTTTGGCCGTTGCACGGCGACTTTACGCAGAGGCCGCGGGTTCATTTTACTGACCGCTGCGTCCTGCGCTACACCACCGTTGGGGGGCAGGAAAAGCTTTGGACCTGCTCCAACACCTTCAATGAGGAATTTATTGAAGACCAGCCGGCGTTGGCGGTGCTTCCATTTTTCTCCATCTACGAAGACGATCATGACGGCGATGGTCGTGTGGACGTCGTGACGATGGTTCTCAGTTTACCCATTAATGCGCTGAATAACGGGGGGGCGGAGGGCACATCACCGTCTAAATTGAAGGACGCTGTTTTTAGGGTGGATTTCCTTCCCGAGTTTTTCTACGAGGTCGATCACTACCTGCTGAAGCTTAAGATGCGGACAGCGGCGCTACTCAGCTTTGAAGGTCCCACTTGGGTGCCTAGAGGGGGAGGGGGGCCACTTGCCGCCATTACAGAGGGCGACCTTCTATTTCATTCCACAGAGCCCCTTATCGTCTCCCCAAATGTACACTACACGCGGACATACATCGATAGCCCCTTCGACAACGTGACGGACATAGATGAACTGCTTAACGTGCCTCTGTTTGCCGGTCAATACACCATGCGGAATCAGTCCGTGCAGTTTAAACCCCACGTGGAGTCCGCCGGTGGACTTGCCCTGTTGCGCGATGATAACTACTGCCGTGCGATTGGTGAAGATTTAGATGCCTTGGATGATTTCACGTGGCGCATTAGGATACGCATTCAACATGCGGAGGTAAAGTACGTTCCGTCAACTCAGGAGGCCCTAAAGTGGGCCTGGGTGCAGTATTTCTCTATTGCCTACATTCTGCAATGGTTGTTGTGGAGGCTGCGTGGCGTCCTGGTGAAGATGGGTGTGTTAAGCACCACAGCCTTTTTTCACCGTAGCTGGAAGTCCAGTTAGTGTGTGTGTGTGTGTGTCGACTGGGAGCTGAGGAGGGAGCGTTGAGAAGCGGGTAGACATGACAAATCCCAAAGCAATAACGAGCCGCAAACAGTAAGACTCATAGAGAGAGGGAGAGAGGGAAAGGTGTTATTGTTGTGTTTGTCCTCTGTGTTGTTGCTTTCGCTGTTATGGTTACTCATCTGCTGAAGGGAGATTTTGTTTGTCTGTTTGTGCCTGTGTCTCTCTCCGTGCGTCGCACTTTGGGATTTGTTTCCTCACCAGTTCCTTCTTCCTCTCGCTTTGATTTGACCGAAACACGCCACCTCCACCCGTCTTTACTCATTTCTCACGCGGAACCCAAAAAGCGGCAAGCGCGAGGCTGCGCGAAAGAGATATGGCGGTGGTGGTGGTGCAGGTAGGGCAGTGCGGCAACCAGCTGGGCGATGAACTTTGGCGTCAGCTTAAACTGACGACAAGCTCGGGTGCGGTGCCGTCGCCTTTTTTCACGTGTGATCGCAGGGCGCGCTGCGTACTGGTGGACTCCGAGCCCAAAGTAGTCACTACGGTGTACGCGCGGCACAAGGACATTTTTCGTGTGGAAAATGTCATATATGGCGACTCAGGCTGCGGTAACCACTGGGCGCTCGGTTACTACGGCGTCAACAACCGCTTGGGTCATCGGGCCGCGGAAAACGCAGCGGTAGCACGCCCGTTTCAGGTGGCCAAGGACCAACGGCGGCGAGACGGTTGTGTTGTGCGGGATGCCCTTCGCGCCATTTACGCCGAGACGCGTCGAACAGTCGACGCGGTAGAGTTTGAGGCGATTATTGTACTGCACAGCCTTGTGGGTGGAACAGGCAGTGGCATGGCTACTCGGCTGCTGGAGAAAATTCGCTACTACTTTATTGAGCCCCGGGACGACGAACACACGGTGGATGAGTGCGAAGAGGCTGCGATGATGCGGCGTGACGGATTGGACGGGATGATGATGGATAAGCGGCGTGCATCGTACCTCGTCAGCGTCACAGTGGCTCCACAGGCCAGTGGGGAACTCTCCACCCAGGGCCTAAATGCTGCCCTTACGCTGCATGCGCTCCAGGAGAACGCCGACGCCGTACTGCTGCTGCGTAACGACGATTGCCTCCGCGCAGGGGCGGAGTCTTCTGCTGCAGGACGTCCTCACAGCCGCGCCATCGCAGCATCTTCTACCGCTTCCGTTTCACTCATCAAACCGTGTGCAACCTTCACGGAGATCAACGAGGTCTTTGTGGCGATGCTGCTTCCGATCATGTTGTACGGCCGAAGTGCCAATGCTGTGGGGGATCTCGTGCTAAGGTGTTCCCCCAATCATCGGGAACTCAACAACATTCTGACAATTTTGCCCACCCCCCAGAGGCAGTATTTGCGCTTTAAGGAGTCTGTGACTCTCTCGCGCTTTTACATTCTCAGTGGGGTCAAGCAGCACATGCCTGGGGTGTGCCCTAGCGTCCCAATAGAGCTGCTGCACACCGCACGTTCCCTGCGGAACCCCGATTTGGTGACATCGAGCGAGGAGGTGCAGGTACCGAGGGAACTATTGAAGAGTTTCACTGAGACTGCGACCTCACGGCGCTCCACCTCGGCGGCGCTCCTCCAGCAAATGGAGGGGGTTCTCGTGTTAAACGAGGTAAGGGAACTGGATGCAGCGGTGCTATTTCATTTACTGCAGTCGGCTGCAATGAAAGTCGAGGCGGGTGCCTTTTTGTCAACCTTTGAGGAAGTGGGAATGACGGCGGAGTGCATACAGGCAGCCATACACGAGGTTGCCGTGAGACTCTCTGCGGCGGAGGAGGCTTGATGGACGGCGACTCTGTTGTTGTTGTTGTTACTCCTTTTTTTTTCATGCTTATTTCGTCTATCTTCCGTCTGCTTGACACACATGCGACAACACACCACATCCAGTCGATCCCGTCTGCGTATTCGCATAAATGTGTGTTTGCGGGGGCGGGCTTCTGCATGAATACCCCCGGCAGTGACGTTGACTCACCACTGTTGATGGTGATGCAGTGATTGTGTTATTGTTATTATCATTATTGTTTCTGTTGTTGTTGTTGTTTGTTTGTTTTTTCTCACTCTCTCGCCTTCCCATAATGACGCCGGTGTGTGTGTGTGTCTGTGGAGAAGGAGGGGTGCCGGGGCGATATTCTCTTTGCTTTAGTTGGCGTTTGGGGAAGAAGAAAAGAAGAAGAAGACATTGAGAACGACTTTTTGCAGGGCTGTGGAGTACACGTCGTGCCTGCAAAGATGCGCCGTGCGGGCCCCTCTGCCTGTGGGCGCCTCTTCTTTGACGCACTTGCCGGCATCCGGAGCTCTGGCCATGCGAGTAGCATGCAGCACCGCTGCGCCTTGCTGCCACCCGTAGACCGCATTGGGGGGGCAGGCGAAACAAGTCTTCCCCGCACACCGTACCGTTTTGCTGTGAAAGACGAGGAACGGGGCTTGTACGACCACGGTCTCACCCCTGACGCACGGCTTTTGATGGCGGAAGCGGAAGCACAGTACAAGGCGAGTGCCGACTACTTACATGCACCACCGGGTGGTCTGGCCCCTGCGGAGCTGCACTTGGATGCGGACGGAGAGACGGTTTCGTGCATTGCCGCCCCCTTTGCGGAGGAGTATGTGCCATCGCACAAGGAACGTTACGCCCATCGTGGGCATGTGGGCGAACTCAGCATGCAACGTGTGGCGGAGCCCAAGTTTTTATTGAATGCACACGCGGAGTTAAACCTGCGCAAGGAACGCCAGTTGTGCGAGGTGATGTCCTCCCCAATGCCGTCGCTCCAAAAGGCAGGGGAGGTGGAGCGTTTGCTGTATGATTTTTACCTCCAGCAGTTTGCCGTCTCGTCCCGCAATGTTGAGGCCATCATTGCATTGTGGGCCCAATGCAGCGTGGAGGAACGCCTTGCAGGACATGCACAGGTGCCGCAGTTGACGTCATCTACTACTGCTGGGGGAAGTCGTGTTGATTCCGTAGCAGCAGTCGATGCGGTGCCATTTTTGCCTGCCATGAAGCGACTATACTTTCACGCCCGTCAGACGCACGTTGCTCCCACACCGCTGGTTCTTGAATGTCTCATGACGACGTTGGCAGCTGCGAGTTCACCAGACAGTCGTGTCTTTCACTTCTCCAATCGTTTGCTCCTAGACGCTGACAAGTATGTTGTGCTGCCAACTCGCACGACGTATGCTGCGTTTTTTGCCATCTGCAGTCTTCATAACGCTATGTCCTTTGCCGTGGTACGCTTCAAGGATGCTGTGGTGAGTCTGCACGTTGCCGTGGACGCCACTATGGCGACAGCGCTTCTGAAAGGGCTCTGTCAGAATGGATTAGTGGAGGAGGCGCTTGCGCTGTTGGCTCGCATTGAGCACGTTCCCTTGGACGTCCAGCTTCTTAATGCCACCATAGAAGTACTTCTTCTTTCTCCACAACCGCAGGCATGCTTTTCTGCGTTTGATGCGACACAGTCGTGCTCTGTGCGGCCGAATGCAGAGACGTATTCGCTTCTCCTTCTCGCATGTGAACGTTCAGGCCTTTGGTGCCGAACCACCGCCATCCTCGCCGACATGCAGCGACGTCGTGTGAAGGGTGACACCAAAACGCTTAATTTGCTACTGAAGGGACTTCTTACGGAGCGACTGCACGACTACGCCCGCCAGCTGTATGACACGATGGTGACGAAGAAGGTGGAGGTGTGGCCTGCCTTGGAATCTCACATGCGCCTTCCAGGAAAGCATAAGAGTAGGAGGAGGCCGCAGCAACCTTCCCGACCGGACTCACCTGCTCGCACCTCAGAGCCGTGCTGAGACGCCTCTCTTCCTGCGGGAGGCAAACCCGTAAGGAAACCAACAACAACAACGGTGCTCACGTATGATGGTGATTTGGTATACACTGCGGTGGCGAACATCCAAGGGGAGTGATACTGAGCAGTTTTCAAAGTGTTTTTGCGTGTATGCGAGTGTGATGTGGTCCATATATGTGTGTATTTATTTGGTGTTGATTTACTGCATATTTTTTTTTGTTGTTGTCGTTTCTTCATCTATTTTTACTTTGTTTCTTGTGTGTATATATGTGTGTGTTGTAAGCATCTCTCGAGAAAGGCCGCCGTGGCAGGAGTGGGTGAGGGCAGCCGTACGTGCACCAGCGGGTCGCCTCCATGCTCTCCTTTGCAGTGAAGGAGGAATACAAAGACGTCAAGGCACCATCAGAAGGAGTTGGTCTTGATGGTTCCACGGCAGCCGCGCAAGAGAGCATGACGCTGTATACATGTGCCAACTGTACCCGTGTTGTGGCTCTTAGCCCGTCCTCGCAGCTCATGTGTACTCACTGCGTGCATCGCACGGGATCGTCCACCGTGTTTTACAAGCTGCGCACACAGCCCACTACGTACGACACAATTTAGGAGAGAATGAAGGAAGCGGGGTGACACTATTTCAGGATTTTCAGCTTGCGTTGTCTTGGCCCCTGTGATCTTTTGTTTTGCTTTTAGTGTGTGTGTGTGTGTGTGCTTTCCATGCATCCCCGAAGTATTCCGGGGATGAGGAGGGAAGAAGAATAAAAAGAAAAAAAACACGCTCTCAAAAGGAGAGGTGTGGGCAGGTGCAGCTGAGGTGGCAGTCTTCAGTGCGGCGTTGCGTTTGCATGGCGTGTATTTCGGCGTGCTGTTACTGTTGTTACTGCTGTTCTCTTACTCTAAGGAGGCACACCGTATCCACGTGTTTCCCCTTGCAGACAGACATTCGCCTTCCCACCCACATGCATCCCTTCCCTGCTTGACTCTCACGACGATGTATTTATTGTCTTTGTTGTTCCTCTTCTTGCTGATGTTGCTTGGCTCCCCCTCGGCATTGACACGACGTCTCTTAGGTGCGTTAGCGATGATAAATCGGCCGCCGGTGCAGCGATTGCAGACAACAGCGGATAAAGGTCGCACTGTGCCGTTGCCTCAGTGTGTCTGTGCGAATTGTTTTTCGCCGCTGATGCTCCCGCGGCCGGATGCGACGGGGACACCGTTTCAGTGCCCCCAGTGCCGCATGGCTGGAGTGGATATGAAGGTCCTGTACACGAGGCGTGCCTTCCCCGCTGAGCACAGTACGAACTGAGCGATTCCGGGAGTGTGGGATGCTTCTCTGCTTCTGTGCGTGCGTGCATGGAACAAGGGCAAAAAAGGTCTGGGGGAATTTAAGACAAAACACAAAAAGTAAAAAAAAAAATGGGTGCCAATCAATGCGTGTGATGTAAGCTCAGCATAACGTGTCTACCCCCCCCCCCCCCCCCTACCCCACACACAGGCACAGACACATTTTTTTTCTTGCGCTCTCTGTCGCTTTGGGTGTCGTTAACCTCGGCTGCGTTTCACCTGAACACACATTTCGAGTAAAGCTGAATACATGAGAAAAACGGCGGGCGATGGGTGGTGGGTTTGGCTTGCCGCTGCGTCGCCCCCCATCATCCTTGTTGTGTTTCTTTTGTGATTCCCTCAGGCCCCTTGGACGCAGCGTCCAGGGTAACACCTGCGGCAGGGAGTGGTCGGAGGGTGTGTGTGTGTGTGTGTGCCTCCTTCACGATGCTGCCCGCCTCTTGGTTTTTGTTTTTGTCTGCATGCTTTCTAGCCTCTTTTCTTCTTATCTCTTTGTGCCTGTGCGGGCGGCAGTATGGTGAGTCTTTTGCAGGGTCTCATTGAGGCCATCCACGCCTCACCCGTGCGGTGCGTCTTGTACGTCGCGGGCGCGGGGAGTTCAGCTATCGCCCAACTCACCGGCGTCGCGGGGTGCTCGCAGACGCTTCTGGAGGCCCGTGTGCCTTACGCTGCTATCACTACCTTTCGCATGTTGGATGATCGGCCGTCAAGGTTGGTTGCGGCGCCGGTGGCGCGCCAGCTGGCCCAACACGCGTATCACCGCGCGGTAGATTACAGTGGCGGGGACGATGAAACGATTGTGGGCATCGGCTCCACGGCCGCTGTGCAGACCAATCGCATCAGGCGCGGTAAGGACTGCGCGTTTGTTGCGGTGTGGTGCCAACGGCATGTGGTGGAGTTTGCCATGGAGCTACCGAGGCATCTCCCACGCGCCGAGCAGGAGGGGCAGGTGGCGTTACTACTGCTGAAGGCCCTGGCCGAGTGTGCCAAGGTCCCCTTCGAGATACCTCTTGAGGTGGAGCCGGCACGGCAGTGCTATACGGTGCCTGCCTTTCCGCTGCGGTGTTTTTTTCAAGGGGAGACGGCGTTTGTTGTCTTCAACAAGCACGGGGAGGTGCGCGCGGGGCTTATGCCCTACGTGGCGGAGGCCTCTGTCGCGGCAACATCCGAAACCTCAGTGCGACAGTTGTTGTTTCCAGGTTCATTTCATCCGTTGCATTGGGGGCATACAGAGCTGGCGCGAACGGCGGCGCGAACGGTGGCGGGGATGGTGGAGCCACTAAACAGTGCGAAGAGCCCCACCTCGCCTACATTATGCAACAAGCCCGAACCCCGTAGCGTCCGGGTGACGTATGAGATCTCGGTGGACAACGCAGACAAGGGCGTCGTAGAGTCGGAGGTGGAGATTGAGAAGCGGGTACAACAATTTAGGGAGCATGGGGCGCGGGTGGCTGTGACACGGGCCCGCCTCTTCATCGAGAAGGCCATGTTGTTTCCGGGTTATGGATTTATCGTGGGTATAGACACCATGAAGCGTATTATTGACCCAAAGTATTACAACAATTCAACGGAGGCCATGCTGCACGCCATGCAAACTATTCGGATGCAGGGCTGCTACTTTGTGGTGGCTGGTCGTGCTTCAGGGAAGGGTGACGCAGTGTGGGAGGACTTAGCATCCATTGATGTGCCAGCGGAACTACGGTCCATGTTCATTCCCATTCAACAAGGTGACTTCCGCGTGGATGTGAGCTCCACGGCGCTGCGAGAAAAAGGGAGGGGAGTGTAACAACTACCAATAAACACCACTGCTCAATCGTTGCCTGCATTCAGTCCTCCTGATTGTCATCTCTTTTCTTGTTCGTCTGTTCCTGCTGTGCCCGGGGGGGGGACATCTCCCCCCCCCCTCCTTGTTTTTTTGTGTGTGTTTATGCTGCTCACGTGGTATTTGTCATTGCGGGCCCGTATGTTGTGTTTTTTTTTTTTGCCATCTCTCGCTGTAGCTGCCGCCGTGTGTGCCCACTTCGGGTGCGACAACTGGGGATATCACAAATCCACAGCAGGCGGCAGCCTCGCTCCCCACGCTATTTTTATATTCCCTTTTTTTTTCTCTTCGCATGTGAGTGGAAGCAACGGTAGGAAAGGACAGCTACGCCACTGCGCTGTTGTTGGCTTGGCTTTACTTACACGCATTCACGCAGCACGACGGTGGCCGCACGGATCAGGGGGGATAGCGAAGGGTGCGAGAGTAAGAAGTGACTGCCGTAGAAGGCAACAGAGGGGCTGAGCCGCGATGTTTGTGCGCACCGCTTTCCTGCTGCGGACGTACCGCCGCAAGTCAAAGGCGCCAGATCTGAAGACGAGTTTTGTGAAGACCCAAAACTTCAAGAAGGCAGAGAAGGTTGCCATTGAGACCGCCGATGGGGAGGTGGTTAAAGGACGCGGCAAGCTGCGCCGCCGCAGCCACAGTGCCCTAAAGAAGGCCATTGACGAAATGGAGCACCCCACCATCTGGCTCTGGTACCCGTGGCGCATGAACCCAGAGCCGCCGACGCCGACGATGCCGCAGAGGCGTGCGCTGAAGAACCTCCACGGCGCCGTCTTCACAGATCTCACCCCGGTGCAGAAGAAGCGGCAGGAACAGATGTTGTACGGGGTGAATATTCCAGAGACGCGAAAGATAAAGTTTGAGCGGGAGCATCCCCTTCTAGCGGGTGCGCTGCGACAGCTTGATGGCCAGCCGAAGGGGTTTCCATTTTGGTACAAAAAATACCCGACACGACGACACGCGTACGAGAATCGGTTTAGCATCCCGGAGGAGATGTTGGAGGGCTACGGAGAAGACATGAAGAAAGCCCTTTCCAAGGAAATGATGTCGGTTCAGGAAAAACAGTTTGCGCAGGAGGCCATGTACATGGAGCGGTACGCAGAACACGACTTCGACACGACAAGTCCTGCTGTGTTGGCTGTGAAGCGTGCCCTCAAGTGTCGCATTCTGCGAAACCACTTGCTGACGAATCCACATAATAACATTATCAAGGCTGTGCTAGCGAGCACGGAAAAAAAACTAAACCATGCACTTCGCAAACTACGTAAAGTGGACTTTAAGAAGTATTGGGAGATTATTCGTGATCATGATGTGCAGGATGTTTTGCAGCCGTCTAACTTGGTTACCTACCGGCAAGGTACCTACTGGAATTATGACTGGAATGCGGGCTTAGCCATCTCCACGAACCTTGCAGACGTGCTTGATCCGCGGGGACTCAACGGCTGCGTTGAAACAGGCCGTTCCCGTTCTGAAGTCGCCCGTGACCTAGGTCTTTCCTACACGAGGCCTTTGCAGGATAACGAAAAGAAGCAGCTCTCTCAGCAGGCGTTGTACTATGAGCGTTTGGCGAAGTTTAAGATGGAGCAGCCGGAGGCAGCACGCGCACTGGAGCGTGAACGCTTCGTGCGGAAGTTTTCCGGCATGTTTGCGAAGATGGACATTAAATCCGGTACCCCTGACTTCCCGAGCACGTACCGCAAACTTCTCGGGACAAAGGTGGTGCGCTGGGCCTCAAAGCGCCATGGACCCATGTGAGTTGTGGTGGTGGTAGTGTTTCAATATATATATATATATATGGGTGTCTTTAGTGTGGTTCACTGGTGGGTTGATACTGAGCTCCTACGTGTTATGGGGAGGAGTCTTTGATTTGTTACTGTTGTTGGTAGTTGAATTTCCCACTCCTTCCCCCGACTGTGTGGACTCATGGCAGTTCTTCCGTCTGCTTGCTTGTCTATCGCTGCCGCTCATTTGTGTGCGTCTTCCTTTTATTCTTTGCTGGGGCAGCTTTGGCTTTCCGTCTTGGCCCCCCACTGGGCGGCGAGGGCAGCTGCGGACTTGGCGGTAGTCTGCGGGAGGGGATGGGGGATGCGCCAGCGGCGATGTCGACAACCGTGCCGGAGGTGATTCTTGTGGGGCACACGACGTATTATCGACACTTTACGCGGGGCTCGCGTGATTTGTACGCCCCTGAGGCGATGCTGCCGGACCCGCCACCGCAGCACGTGTGGAGCTACTGTGTGTCGCGGGATCACAACGACACGGTGTTTTTCCACAACCACGCGAGCGGGAGGTCGCTGTGGGTGCTACCGCGCCTTGCAGGGGACGGCGCGGAGGCAGCTGATGGCGCGGAGGAAGTTATGCAGGCTATCGGCTCCGTCGAATCAGCTGCAACAATGCGGAAGCACGTGGCATTTGGATCCAGAGATGAGGCGAGCCAGGGGGACGCTGCGGGTCGTCGCGCCGTCATGCGACAGAGTATTGAGAAGGCGGTGAGGGAGGCTCAGGCGCAACGGACGGCAGAGACGGTGCCAACAACGGCGCCCGCTGGCCCTGTTTCTGATGAAATCAATAACGAGAATAACAACACGGTACACGTGCGTGAGAGACTGGCAGTGTGGCGCGCCAAACGGGCGCAGCAACAACAACAACAGCAACAGGGCGGCGATGCGCCGGTTGTCTCAGCCCAGAGAGATGACGTAGAAAAACGCGTGCATCACGAGTCTCCTTCTTTGTCTGGCCTCCCCCCAGCAGCAGCAACCGCGCAGCGAGCGTCTTTGTTGGGTGGTAAAATATCTTCACAGAGTTCATACCATGCGACGGCGCCGAGAGAGATGGAGATGTCTAGAGGTGTACAGCCCATAGAAGACTTTCAAAACGTAGAAAAGGCTCCCTCCCGTCAACGGACGTATTCATTGCTTGAACGCGATATTTATGATGAAAAGCGGCGCCTCTTTCTTGAGGCTCATGAGAAGCTACAGCAGGAGAGGGAGATGACACTGCAACAGGAGCGTTTTGCACTTGAACGTGTCGCTCGTCTGCAGGAGGCGCAGCAGCGTGAGGAGGAGGAACGCACGCGACTGGCGACGGAGCGGAGGCAGCTTGAGCAACAGCGTCTGGAGCTGCAGAAGCGGGCTCTCGAGCGGCAACGTGAACTGCTTGTGAAGGTCGAGGAGGAGGCAATGCAGCAGGAGCTGGCGGGAGAGTTAGATAACTTTTTTGAAACCAAGTCGCGGCTGGTGCAACAGGCTCAGGCTGAGCGTCGGCGTTTGGCGTCGTTCGAGGAGGCCATCGCGGAGTCTTTGCTGGGGACCGTGACCCAAAGCCCCACGGCGCCACCAAAGGAGGAGCGACGCATCGACCTTCGCCTGCTCGATGAGAGCGACACAGACAAGGATGACTCCTCCAACAGCAGCAACAATAACAAGAGCAACCATCGCGGCGTCTTGAGGAGAGGCGAAGTTCCCAACAGGCGGATGTGTCAGAAGGCTGCTGGCGCTTCTCCTTCGCAGCGAAGGCGGCAGGAAAAAGACCAACAACAACGGCGCTGTGAACGCATTACGTACGGTCCCTCTCTCGTTTATGTGGGGGATGTGACAGGCGGGGGACGCAAGCCGCCGTCGTTTTTGCAGCGTCAGGGGCGAGGCACGTTTTTTTACGACAATACGCAGAAGTACTTTTTCGAGGGAGAGTGGTGCAACGACAAGAGGCATGGCGTCGGCGCCCTTTCGCTCCCGCACGCTGCGCTGGAGGGGACATGGCTGCGTGATCAGCTTGAGGGTCGTGCGACGTTTCACACCAAACGGTTGAAGGGGACAGGGGAGTTCAAGGAGGGTGTGCTTGACGGAAACGTTGTTGCTGAAATTGACTGCAACACCGTTTTTGCGGGACGTGTGAAGAAAAATGCGGCCATCGTGGACTCTGGCGCTATCACGCTCGCCTCAGGCGACCATGTGGAGTGGATACGCGATGACAAAAAGAGCCACCGAGGTCCAAGACAGCAGGTTGCAACACGGTCGTGTAAATTTCCCAATGGCTCCGGAAGCTGCCGCATTCGCTTTGCAAACGGCGACGTGTACGTTGGTCAGGTGGAGAACTATCAACCACATGGAACTGGAACCTACCGCTTTGCCGCCGAGGGTCAGGAGTATGTGGGAGAATTTCAGCATGGCCGGCTTCAGGGTCGTGGCACATATAATTTTGCCAATGGCAGTGTGTACATTGGGCAGTTTTACAAGGGGGTCTTTCACGGGGAGGGGCAATACGTGCAGCGGGACGACTACACGTATGAAGGCTCCTGGGAGTACGGCACGGCGCACGGCAAAGGAAAGCTGATATTTGCAAACGGTGATGTGTGGGAGGGGGAATTTGATCATGATCGTCGCGTGACTGGACGCTACACCGCTTCCCATTTGTTTCAACTATAGCGAAGTATCCTTCCAAATTTTGTTGTTGCAGTATCCTTCCCTGTATTATCTGTTAAGTCTTTAGAAGCGGTCCCCGCTGCTTTGCAACAACAACAACAACAAAGGCACAAATCCCATCCTTTTATGTACATGCGTGCCTCTCTGCCTCTTGCAAACCTCACTTTAAGTTCCTCCTCTGTGGTTGTTGTTGGCTGTTGTTTAGTTTTTTTTGCTTTTGCTGCCGTGTCTGTTGCAGTTGATGGCCCTGTCGTTGTACTTTCCCCCTGGCGTGTGGCAAATATAAATTCGTATGCGCCCCTGGGTGCTGACTCTCTGGCGGCTACGTGTGGGGATTACAGGCTTCCGCTCGCTTTCGCACTCACACTCTTTTTTTCTCCCCACTCTCTCGCCGCATGCGCCTATGCCTTGCTTGTGTGTGCAGGTCTCCGTAGTTAGCCGCAGGGCCCCATCACTCCAAACACACACAATCTGGAGTGGAATGGGCTACACGCGTGAGCGCACCCACCGCCACTTTTTTGTCGCGCGGGCCAACGCCTTCTTTTCACGGCTTCCCATTGCCCGTATTCAACGCTCGCTGGCCATGGAGGCAATCAAGCAGGGGCGCATGCGACCGTGGAAGCACACAAAGGAGCAGATCCTTGGTGCCCCCATAGCATGCAACTTTGACTACAATCCGCGTCCTGTGCGACTCATTGGGACGGTTATGGATGCCCACACGGAAGAGACAAGCATCAAGGGTGGGCTTAAGGTCTACGCACGCAACGAGGAGACGAACATGATGTTATGGATTCCTGCAGGAAACCCAAAGCTGAAGTACGAGGTGACAGCAACGAAGGGAAGCTTTCAGCATTATCTGGACGAACGCGATAAGTGGGACGAAGCCTGGCTGACGGGCCGCGCAAGGATGAAGTAGGCAGGTGGAAGGAGAGTCACCACTATGGGTGTGGCGGCAGATGGAAAAATCCATCTGCTGCAACGGACGCAGGTGACTGCCCTTCTGTTACTTACTTTTAGTAGCTTTGCTGCGTCTCCCACCCGTTTTCTCTCCCTCCCGCGCTCTGGTTCCTAGCGATGTGACGGATGATAATGTATGCATATGCCATGAATGTTCTTCTCTCCAGGTCCCCCTTGTGGATCGCGAGTTTACTTTTTCCTCTCTTCGTTGTTTTCTGAAGTTCTGCGTACCACGAGGAATAGGTGGCCGTGTGGGTGCCGGAGTGCATCTCTGCTCCACCTATTTGCAAAGGAGAAAAAAAAACGAACAAGCGCAGGGAGTGACGTATTCACCGCAGCGTCGTGCGCGCACATTCACACGTCTGTTGTTTGGGTTGCGTTAGGCGTGGCATACACCCTCGTGTTTGGGGCCTTTGGCAGGGGAACCGACAGCGCAGAGAGGCAAGCTGACGCGTGCGGCATAAAGGAGCAAGACGGTACCACGGGGAACGGTTTGCGGGACCCAAATCATGCCGGCCACCGAGATGCAGTCCATGGAGATGGACATGGTGCAGGGCATGTACGACACCTACGAACTTAGTAGTTTGGACCCACCGACGTACTCCGTCCTGCTTGCTCCCACCGCAGATGACCCACCCGAGTTGCGCGTGACAATTGTGTACGACTCCGAGGGGTACCCAGAGACGGCTGCCCCCACCGTACGCCTGGAGCACCACGCCAAGCATCGTCGCATGCAGATCACAACCCTTGCCAAAGAGATTGAGAATCTCTGCGCGGAACATATCGGTATGCATAGCGTGATTTCCGTCCTTCAGCGGGCCCAGGAATACCTCACAGAGTACGCGGTGAGGGAAGAGAATGCGGAACTGCAGCGACGCGGAGACGTGTTGGCAAAAGCCGCTGCCAGCGCATCTACGGCGGCACCGGACCCCACGTTACGCATCGGAACCGCCGTCACGTGCGAGCTGTTTGCGGAATGGAGTGAAAAACACATGGAGGAGAAGCAACGGGCGCGGAGTGTTAACGAAAAGAAGAGCACAAAACTAACGGGCCGGCAGCTGTGGGCGGGCGCCCTCAAGAACACCGACTGGGATCTTTTTGACACCGACGATGGCGACGGCCAGAACGTCGACTTCTACGCCTTGGCGGATGGGGAAGGGGACGAGATGGACTTTGATTTAGATGACACGGAAGAGGAGGGCTAAGGCGTGCAGGCTGGAGTGCGATGGGCAGAAACAGCGCTCTCACTCTCTATCTATCTATCTATGTCTGTTTGTCTGTCTGTGTGTCTGTGTGTATTAAAGCGTTGGGAGGCGGCAGCCGTCATGAAGTGGGAAGCACGACGAAAAAGAAGAATCTACGGATAGGTGTGGGCGGGGGGAAGAAACTGAGAGAAGGAAAGGCGCGGAACAAAAAAATAAAGAGTTGACGTAAACCCAAAACCAAAAACGTCCATGCGAGATGGGATGGATGAGAGAAAGAGAGCAGAGACACCCGCAGATACGCATGTGTGTCTATGAACACTCTCGGTGCTGCGTTTTCACAGGCAGGCGGTGCTTGTTTAGGTGTATACGCAGCAATATTCTCGTTGTTTATCTCGCGAACTTTGCCTTTATTTTTCCTTAATTTGCTCTTTATTCCTTTTCTCTCTGTCTCTCTGGGGCGGGTGAGGAGTGCAATGCGGCAGTTCGTGGGGCCGCTGTTGCAGCTGCATGCGCAGTCGGTGCCGCGCCGTCACTTTAATGTCATTCAGCGCGGCAACGACAAGGAGGCAGAGGCGCTCTTTGCGCTGCTTGGATTTGGAAAGGAAGGTGAAGCACACCGCATTCGCCGGACACGTGACGAGCTTCGTCAAGGCTACCTGCGAGAGGCAATGAAACTGAAAGACCCAGAACACGACAAGGGGGAGGCGGCAACGCTCTCCAAGCTGCGGCGCGCGTACATGCTGCTTTCCGACGATCAATTTCGTGCACGCTATTCTGCACACCACTGCGCCTCACCCGACGCGATGCTTCACGTTCACGTCGACGGTGGGCAGACTGCAGCTAACTTTAACCCTGAGCATCAACACTTTGACTTCGTTGATCACACGCTTTCCTCGCCGGCGTCGTCGTTGTCTTCGTCTTCAGTGCAGCGGTCCTTTGGGGATTTTACTGGCCCGTTTCAGTCCGCCACAGGCGTGTCGAGCGCATCAGCGGATGCAAAGGCGTATAATCCCTGTGAATCCCGCACTGCACGAAACGGGCAATGTATTAACTTCGTGCTCCGCATCTCCTTCGATGAGAGCATACTTGGTTGCACAAAGACAATAGTGTATGAGAAGCATGTCACGTGTACTTTGTGCGGCGGTGACGGCCGGCAGACTCTGAAGAAGCAGCGCAGGTGTCCGCAATGCCGCGGCCGTGGCTCAGCGCATCTGCCAAGCGCCACATATCACATTGAGCGTTCGTGCGGGTACTGTGGTGGAGAAGGTGTTGCTCCGCAACCGAAGTGTGGAGCTTGCGGCGGCGCCGGTGTTCTAACGGGGCGCACCGTAAAGGTCACCATAGACGTGCGTCCTGGCACCACAACAATGACGGTGCGGCGCTTTCGTGGAAAAGGTCACGATGGGGTGCGTGGTGGTAGTGCGGGGGATCTCCTTGTGACGGTTTTGGTGCAGGACCACCGCCTCTTTCATCGTGACGGGCTTGATTTACATATAGTGCTGCCTATTCCACTTTCGATAGCCCTTCTCGGCGGCATAGTGTCAGTGCCAACTTTGCGTGGAGCACACCCACTACGCATCCCTCCCTGTGCACGAAATGGCGAGCGGCTGACCATAGAAGGTCATGGCGCCTGTCTGGACGGAGTCAGCGATGCCGTTACCGCTGGCGAGGTGGAGGTGGGGGATGTCTCGGGGGAGCCACATGAGAAAAACCGCAATCAGCACCAGCAGCAGCGTCCACAAGGTCATTTGTACGTCCACCTGCTGGTGGTTATTCCGAAGCGGGACGAGTTAACGGGGGCACAGAGGTGTGCCCTCCAGAAATTTACTGCAGAAACGCAAAAAAAAAGCAATATCGATAACATTTGCGGGGATGACGAGGAGACACCGGCATCTCTCAAGCAGCGCTTCCGGCATTGGCTAGTGAAACCATCGCTGTGATTATGTCAGTTAACGCGACCGTGCTGGCAGCGCCCTGTATATGAAAAAATTAAAAAAATGGTAGCAGTCGTTTCACATCCACTGTCTTTGCTGCCCGACGCATGCGGTCCAGCAACAGGAGTCACTGGTCCTGTTCTCAAGGGATGTGGAGGGGCGTGTTGCCGGGCACAGCGGGCCCGTTCCGCGGCGTCGCTGTGGTTGTGCTGCCGTTGTTGTGGTTTGTGGGACTGGTGAGGGAAGAGCGTGTGCGGACGAGCGGGGCATACGTCGTGGAAGGGGAAGTAAACTGTGAGCCCGCCACACTTTTGTGCGTGGTGTACGTCGGCTTCCCTGCGGTGTGCGTGTTGGGTGGGTGTGCCTGTTGAGGGCGCCTTTGTGTGCCTGCCGCGATGCCCCCACGACCCGCCCTCTGTGCTTCTAATTTCTACTTTTTTTATGTGTTTCCCTCGTTTTTTTTTCTTGCTCGCTCGTTTCCATGCTGTTTGTGCTGTCTGCTGCGTGGGGGCGGAGGCGCTAGGGGGCGGTGTGCTCGTCCTCGGCGCGCAGACATTCGTGGGCCTGCCGGGAGTTGACGTGGGCGACACACAGACGTGTTGGGAGGAGGAAGAGGGGGGAGATGGAGGATAAGCTACGCGGTGCCACGCGAGAGGAGTTGATGAGCCACGTGCTCACCCAGCGCCGTCTCATTCGGCATCTGCATCGGCGCGTCGTCGAACTGGAGCGGGAGGTTTCCTTGGTGTCCCGCAGTTCACCTCCTCGGAGGAGCGGTGCGACAGCGTTGTCTGTGGGGCTTCGTAAAATTGGCCGCGTCCTGCAAGCACATGCCTCAGGTGCGCTGCATCTTCCGCAGGAGTTTGTGGCCGAGTTTCTGTACATCCAGAAGGAACTTGCCGCCGCGGCATCCGGTGAAGCTCCCACACCATCGTCGGGGAGGCCAGCGGCGTCACCGCCTGAGGAGGGGTCCAGTGTTCCGCGGCGTTTTTCTCCGCCAGGTTCTCTCATTCAACGGACCCAGCAGCGCCTGTCAGTGATACAGAGGGATGAGACGCCGTAGTGCATTACGAGCATGGGGTCTTTGTGTTTCCTATGCCGAAGCTT